CACAGACATTAAATCACCTGCATCAAACGGAGCAGGTGTGGTAATGTTGGGGCTTTGACGTCACTGGCTGTGCAGAAATGAATCAACATCCTGTGTGGCATTTGGAGCTTTCGTTTTAAAAGTTACAGAGAAATAGTCCAGGGTTTTTGGTCATTTCCGAGTAAGTGATTCTGCACTTTTTATCAGATCTATCCCTAACCTTTAGAATGAATTTGACTGGGTGTCACTTTAGGTGTCATTTATGACCTGACAGCGGTTTTTATGTTCAAGTTGAAATGTATATTTTACAGAAAAATGTTATATATATATATATATATATTTTTTTTTAAGCTCATTTACTCTCTGCAGTTTTAACACTTTAGTGTCTGGGAATTGAAAAGTCCTTAGGGTTGGATTCAAACCAGCAACCCTTTCATTAATTGAAATTCATGTTTAACCAATCCAAACTCATTTAGAATTATTGGAAATAAAAATAAATATCTGAAATATAAATAATTAAAGTTAAATAAATAAAAGTTAAAAACAATTTGGGCTCTTTGTCTGTAAAACATGGTGAATTTAAGGATTTGGTTAAATTGGTTAATTTGAATAAATATAGAAGATTTCTAGAAATGGAGTTTTGTCAACGTACAAACATCTGACAGTAAATGATATTATTTTATAAAGTTTCGTTTTCCTATTTAAAGCCCATGATTCTGTGCTTCGATGCGATTTTAAACTTATGTTACAACTGTTGTGGTAGAAATATTTATATTGTTTTATTATATAGATAAAGATATTATATAGATTATATGTAGACAAACACACACACACACACACACACACTGAGTCTCATGCCTGGTCAGTGAGTGACTCACCTTTGAACACAACACAACAGTAAACCACAGCGTATTACCTGCTTTTTATCTTCATCGTTTTCTGTTTTTTTTTTTTACTGTTTTCAGTTTTTCCAATTTATCTTCACTGCTGGTTTTAATGGCAGGAAAAGCAGCAGGTGTGGACGACAGAACCGTCTCTCTACCCTGGGCCTCCAGCTGTGCCTAGCCTCCCCCCACCCCCCCGCTAACTACTGTACAACTACCAGCCAAAGCAGCTGCTACGACACAGTCACAGTTCTACTACCAGTACAAGGCAGGCATCACAAAAATAAATCAACTAAAAGACACAAGGACATAAATACGAGTACAACCTTAGGCAAATCCATCTCATCATCAAAGGCCCTGAGCTGAAAGAGAAGACAGGGTTTAGAGGGTTAGAAAAACCACACGGGAAGAGGAAAGCTTCAGCAGAGGTCAACAGCAGAGCACGTTACGGAAGTTAGGTGAGTTCAGTCGTGGTCGGATGAACGGTGTTTGTGAGAGGAGCCGAGAGAATCAGAAGATGACTGGAGGCCACGGAGGGAACTTCGTCAAAGTACTGACTTGTTCTACGTCGACAAATTAAATAACGTGCCTCTGTGTGGAGTGTTACGCTAAATCAGATCCAATTGCCTAGAAAATACCTGGTAAATCAAATTAGTCTTTTTACTACATAGGCTACAAATCAGTCAAATCAGGAGTCAAAAAACCAGGGCGACAAACACGGCTTTTTTTTAGTCCTACTTCAAGTCTTCTCTTTGTAAAAGTCATTTATGAACCAAATCATGAAAAGAAAAACAACATCAACAACATCAACAACAACAACAACAACAACATGGCCAACCTTCTCTCCGTAGCCCCGGTCTTTGGTCATCATCTCTCGCAGCGTTTGCAGGACTTTGATGCACAGTCTCTCCTCGTTCTCCTCCAGCAGCTGTTTGGTGTGTTTGATCAGCCTACACAGGAAAAAAAAACAAACACACTCTATTAAAACCAAATTCAAAATATTAGTAACTTATTCGTGATTCATTAGTGACTCATTCATTTGACTTGACTTACTTGCATATGAAGCCGCCACTCTCGCACTTTTTGCGCGAGTCCGTGTTCTCGGGGAACAGCAGCTCGGGCCGATGCAGCACGTCCACGAGAACCGACAGTTCGGCCTGGACCAGAGGTCGCAGACGGTCCTCCAGAGCGGACACGATGTCCTGCAGGACACAGACCCCTCAGTGTTCAGACCAACACGATGAGTCAGTGATTGACACTCATTGGTGGATCAGTGTACGGCACCTGCAGTCTCTCTATGATGTTCCTGTAATCCCGTGACGCGGTGACCACCGAGTCTCTGCGGGCAGCATTACGAGCGGACAGTCTCCAGCTCATGGCCGTCTTCTGGACGATGTTGTTGGACTTCACGAAGAGGTTGTTGACCTGGTTGTCCAGGTCCACTGGGATGGCGATGGCTCGGCCTTTGGCTGCCAGAAAACACACACACACAGAGAGACAGACGGGTTCATAAAGGATCTGGTCTGATGAAACGTCAGAGAAACACTTTTGGAGGGAAAGATAAACGCCTTCTTACCAACATCAGAGAGCACCTTTATACAGTTTTCAACAGAACCCTTCTGGACTGGGACCAGCCAGTTACAGTGATAGACTCTGAACACTGCCTGCAACAGCTGCACAAAGACCGGCTGCCTGGTCTGAGAGCAGAAGAAAAGAAGACGAGGTTTTATTACTACGACGGCGGAACACAACAACACACCGGACGACTGCAGGCGTGAAAGAAGAAGAAGAAGAAGAAGAACGTTCTGTAACACATTCGTCATCTTCAGCACCTGCAGCCGGACTTTTGTTTCCTTTACACACACACACACACACACACACGTGATACAGTACGCTGACACAGTGGTGTCCAGGAATAAGCCTGTGCAGAGTTTTGTCCACATCTCACCCAGAGTGAAAAGGTTTTTTTTTTTTTCATTTTCATTGTGAATTCTGCTGATCCCAGCTCCCAGTTTCACCTGAAATATTTTAACAATGTACCTGGAAAAATTTCCCCAACAGAGACGCCTGCAGCGGAGGAAACAGGAACGAGGTTCAGGCAAACTAATTATTGAAGAGGTTTATAACGACACATCTCAGACCGAACTGCTCTAAAAGAATGGAAAACTGCAGTGAAGTGCAGTTTCTCCTTTGATTAAAAAGATGTTTTTCTCCTGAATAAATATATAATTTGGAGTTGCTTGAAAATATCCCGTTAATTCTTTTTAATGGATGTTTTATCAAAGGTATATCATGCAGCATTGTTTCCCAAAGACTGGGTCGCGACTCTCAGGTGGGTCGCAAGAATTTTTTTTTTGGGTCGTTTCCCAGAAGTTTGCGAATAATGTCTGTAGACTTGGGTCGCAAAGGGTTGTGACTTTTAAAATATGGGTCCCCAGAAACAAAGTTTGGGAAACACTGTCGTACAGTATATAATGCTGTGTCAATTATCAGTCACTGGCAGTAGGAAACCTTAAGGACACAATGTTAAAAATGCACAAAATTGTAAAAAAAAAACAAAAGTCTAACAGTGGTTAGTCAGGTCAGTTTAGCCTAGACAAATGTTACCAATAAAAAATCCCAAATCAAAACTTTTTGAATAACGTGCAATTTTACTTGCATTTAAAACAGTTTTCTTCTCTTTTTTGAGCTATGACACATAAAAACCCCAGACACAGAACCAAAAAAAAATCCAAAAAAACCCTGGATAGATCTTAAACATAAAAATTGTTTAAAAATGTGTCAGTACTTTTACAGTAAATGGCAGCTGTAAAGTACACTGTACCTGCAGACTGGTGCTCTGGTCAGAGAACGGTGAGCTGAAGAAGGTGGTCACGATGCTCATGACCGTCTCAGTCACATATCGCTCCAGGATGGTGTCGGCGTGTTTACGATCACTGGTGTTGTTGCAAACCTGGGAACAGGACAAAAATAAAGCTGCTCCGGAAGTTTGTTCTTTTCCAGTAAGTGTTTTCTTTTCTAAGTTACTTCTTACTCACCCTGCAAATATCAACAAGGAAGTTCTCAAAAAGTTTCCACATGTGGTTGGACGTGTAGATCTCCTTCATTTCCACCTCCGTGTCCACGTAGCAGTGATTTAGGAAGTTGATGTAAGCAATCTTCACCTGGAAGGATATGAGTCAAGAGCCGAAGTCAACTGAGGAGGAACGATCAGGACAAACAGGACGCACAACAACACGATCATTCCCTTTTCTAAATAAAACCTCTTTTAGACTTTTTTTCTGTCTGAATGACCTTTGACCTGTAGGTTTGAAACACTGACAGATTATCTTTGAATGGAAACAGTACAGGGATATGACTGGATTATTTTTGGAATGAAATAAATCAGTAAAACAGAAGTACATTTTTTCACTGCGGCCCGGTACCAAATGACCTACGGACCGGCACCGGTCCACAGACCAGGGGTTGGGAACCCCTTATGTAATATGGTAGTATCATATCATACCTGTGCATATATTATAATTATAATTTTATTAATGAAATAATAGTTATTTTGTGCAGTAAACAGCAGGTACGGAGAAGAAAACCGTGATTATGAATGTGTTGTTGTTGTGATTATTAATAGAGTTTTTAATCATCCAGACCGTGAGTTCATCCAACAGCTGCTGCAGCACAGCAGTGATAAAACCTGGAACCTAACTTTAGGGTCTCTTACGGTCAGGCCGTCCCCCAGTCTTGGTCACAGTCCGTCTCTCACCTCAGGAATGCAGTCCTCGTGTGTCACCACGCGGACGATGTCGTCCAGCGGTAACAGCGAGTTACACTTGATCTCGGTGTAGACGTTCTTGCCCTCGGTGCAGACGGCCAGCAGCTCCACCAGGTGGATGTGGTACATCAGCGGACTGTTCTCGTCCATGCGGTCCCGCTCCGATCGCATCATCTGGACCAGCGTCTGGAAGGACGCGCGGTCGTTGTAGAAGACCAGGACGTCTTCGCCGGCGTTCACCAGCTGTTGGGACAAACACAGCAGTTTGGGTCAGAACTACTGCAGCAGAAAACCAACAAGGTCAAGGTAAGGAGGAGACAAGGTCGCGACCTCTGCCATCACGATGTCCTGACACTTCTTGATGAACTTGTTCTCCGCCTTGACGATGGTCTGCAGAAACTTCAGGTACTGCACGTTGCGGCCGTGCGTCTCGATGCAGTGGACGAAGTGCTGGACCACGCGCTCGTTGATCTCACTGCACAGCTGGAAGTTGTTCATGAAAATGTGCTGCATGGTGATGGCCTCTAAAATCTGGGAACCAGAACAGGAGTGGAGAGGCATCAGAACCGATCAGAACACACCGGTACTGATTCATTCATCTGATCACACACAGCTCCTCACCCCGGGGTTGAGGAACAGATTGATGTGTTTGTGCAGCAGAGCTTGGTTCTGCTGGTTCCCTGCACAGAAGTTCTGCAGAAACTGATGAGCGAGCTTCATGATGTCCTGCATACGAAGATCTTCGCCCTGGGAGGAGAGAAGCGCTCGTACGTGAAGACACGTTCGCTCTTTACTGACACTCTGTGGTGACCCTGTAGTGACTGTACTGAACCTTCTCGTATGGGATCTGCAGCAGCTCCAGGACCACAGCATGAGCCCCCATGTTCCTCAGAAGTCTCTGCTGCTGTTTCCTGCTCTTCCTCCCTGAAAGACCTTCTTGTATACACAACTTGCTGAGTCGCAGCAGAATCTAAACGGAAAAGGAAAGGGTTAAAAAAATAAAACAAAAAATAAAAAACTTCACGCGTCCTCCTGCTGTTGACAGTGCGATTCCATACCTCCTTCACCACTCTGTAGTTGTAACTGCTCGTACTCTCGGCTTTCTTCGGCTTGTCTGTCCCACCGGAGTCACCCTTCATGAAGAGAAGACACGAGGATGAGGAGGAGAGCCGACGGTTACTGACGTCGTGTCGAGGTTTTTCACACCGACCGTTACCTTTTTGTGTTCCGACTCCGTCGACAGCCCGTCCGCCGCGTCCATGCCTTCGTCAGGACCCTGTCTCTTGTACACCCACAGCTCGGACTTCTCTACGATAGAACGCAGCTGGTCCAGGTCGGACTTTATCTGCTTGTAGTTTTCCACATCCTGGCTGGTGACCAACAGCTGGACCTGTCGACAAAATTCTTTTTTTAAGACTTTCATATGTAACGACAAAAGCTGTGTGTAAAAAAACAAACTCATGTTTTCTTACTTCAGCTGTTGGGATTTACATTATATTAGTTTAGTTTAATGATGAAAAGATCTTTAATATAATTATACAAACACAAGTCACTAGTTAATTATTACTCTGTGTTCGCAGCTAATCTTAACTGTTGCTAATAAAAAAAGGTTGTGTTTAATTTTGTTTGTTATTCCTTTGATATTCACACAGTTTTAAACCTTTATTATAATGTCTGTTTATAAAACACATTGATTTTATAGTACTGTAGAATCATCATAACTTAAGTTAAACTGAAGTCTACCTGAACATTGCAAAAAATGTTCTAAAAGTAGCAAATGTAGATTTTTTTTACAAATTTCTTTAACATCAAAATATACATAAATAACAATAACATAATTAAACCTTTCAGCATCCATATTTCAGTCTATGTATTATTTTAATCAATGGTCAACTGTGTGGTTGTACATCAAAAATCAGAACCAGAACCAGAATTTCCTCTGATTCGTGTGTAGAACCCGTGGCGTCAGGTTACCTGTTTGAACGCCTGCAGGACTTCCTGTCTTTGGCTGAAGTGTCTGAAGAGCAGGTGCAGGGCTCTGGACACCAAAGGAGGGTAGTCGTGCATGGTCAGGTGAAGGAGGACCCTCAGGAAGGTCCGGCCCCCGTGGTCATCCAGGTCCAGTGGCGTGTTCTCTTCACTAGAATTACAGTGAAAACACCGACTGTACTGCAGAAACATGACAGCATTTCTTGAGATTTTTTCTGTACTGAAAATCCTTACCTTCCACCAAATATGCCCTCTGCCTGCTCTTCGATGTTTTCAAAATCCAGAGCCCCTGGAGTCAGAGTTTTGTTTTTGTTATTAACACCAATCATGACCTGGAACCTGTGGTTGTTGTAAAAGGCAGCGTCACGTCAACAAATCTGACCTGGCATGTTGTTGGGTCCTTCCACCACTCCGGTGATGGTCAACTCGTTCTGGGAGTTACTCTCATCAAACTCTCTCTTGAAGATGGAGAGCAGACAGGAGATCCTGTAGTCCAGACGTACGTTCAGGATGAACTGTGGGGCAGGAGAGAAGACAGGAAGTGGACAGGAAGTCACTCCGCAACAACTAAAACTGCACGTGGTCTGAGTGTTCTGGGAGCAGTGTCTAAGGTCAGTCAGGACTCCCTCCTCACCCCTCCTCACCCCTGATGTTGGGTGTGTGTCATGTGCCTCATCCAAACCTGTAAAATCTCGATGATTTTCAGCTTGGTGTCCATGACCAGGATGTCCTGCTTCTCCGGTTCCGTCTGCGTTTTAACTGCGCCCGCGGTCGCGTTGTTGTTGAACGTTGTGGGAAGGAAGCCTCCTCCTCTCAGCACCACCTGGGACATCAGCTCGCCGACACCGTGGATGGACCTCATCACGTTACTGCCTGATAACGTACACATGTGAAAACGCAAACGTCATGAATACGATCGACTTCACACTTGTGTTTGATCCGTTTCTGTGGGACGTACCTTTACTTTCATCTTCTTTGTCCAGTTTGTTGAAACTGAAGGTGGTGCTGACGTGGACACAGTCTAAAATAGCCAGCAGGATCTTAGTTAATCTCAGCAGGTCACTGAAGTTGTAGAAACCAAAGTAGATCAGGTTCCTGGCCAGGTTGACCACCTAAACCGGGCAAAGGAAATGGATTTGTACAGACTGACGACGCAGAGAAACTTTTATTCCCGTGATTGGATTTGACGTGTGAATCTGAATGACCTCAAACGTCAGCTTGTTCTTCTCTTTATCAGCGAAGGGGAAACTCTGACAGACCACATCCCTCAGGTAGTTCTCAACAAACTCCATAGTTTGAGAAAATCTTTCCTTGATTTCGTCTTTGGATGTTCCATTGTTGTCATAACTGGAGCGAAAAAAAAACACAAATGGATCCAAAAAAGTTATTTTTTTCCTTTTACCTTTAATATTAGGGATGTTCGAAAAAAATTGTTTTACCTTTAATATTAGGGATGTTCGATATCTGATATTGTCCAAACGTTAAATTTCCAATTCCAATATCATCCGATATATGCAGCCGTTTGCCCCCAAAACTGAGGTAAAGTTCTCAGGACTCTACGTGCGATTTCCAGGGAATTCGTTATCAGATTTTCATTATCGTAGATAACGATTCTTACCGATACCACATAATTATGCATTGTCCAAACACATAATTATGCTAATAACGAGCCAATGAAATCGAGCCGACCGATGTTATCGGACATCCCTGTTTAACATTCATTATTGTTGTTTGACTTTCTAAAGATGCTCACTCATCGATGGCGATCTCTGATGGGATCTCTGACCAGAGGCGTGCGTATTTGACAGGCGTGACCTGCTCCTGCGGGTCACGGTCCACGTGCATGTGCAGCATCATACGGCAGAAGGACGCCCGCAGGTCGAAGGGCAGGTCTTCATCGGACATGCAGCGCAGGATCAGGTCCACGTCCAGTTGGCCTGAGATCTTGTTGATGGCCAAATACTGTCGGTCCAAACACATTCTCGCAAACAGATTCAACTGGTACCTGTGGAGCGGACACAGGCATCACTGACAGGCTTCGACCTCCTGACATAAGAAACCAGGAGCAGTGTGTGTACCTGTAGTAGCTGATCACATCCTGGTCCTCCTTCTGACCTTCTTTGGCATCCTGGGCCAGCTCTCTTATACTTTTACTCCTTATCTCTTTGTTGCTGTCCTTCCAGAACAACCAGACTTCCTCCTCATCTTCCTCAGACTCCACGGAATTTTCCCCCAGCGGCGCTCCCTCGATCTCAAACCTGGAGAGGACCAGTCTGTAGACAAAGGTTTGGTGAAAAAGGACAAATCATCAGCCAATAATTCTGTGTTTGTTATCATGGATATGAAGCTGCTCATCACTTTGAGCTCGCTTTACATGCAATATAGACTATGTTATGCCTGAATTTTTTTTTATAATTTATTTTATGTTTACAAAATCTAACTGTATTCATTGCAGACTTCAATATTTAATTTACAGTGGAAAACAACCAGGTCAGAGAAGAGATGAACAAAGACGATCTCATCAACACTCACTTTGTCTCGATGAGAATGTCACCATTAGTGGGATCCAGAACGGCGTTGCAGATGAGCTCCTGTGTCACAGGGATGGACTTATTCATCGACACACACAGGTCTGAAAGGTAGTCCAGGAACCTGGACACGGAGTGAGAGGAACGCTGGTCATTCAACGGTGACGCTGGTTCACTGTACGTTTATTTCTTTAGGCTGAGACAAAAACCAAACCTGGGCTCCCGGTTCTTTCGGACCAGGCTGACGAACGTGTCAATCTCAGCCGCCGTGATGTGTTTCTCCAGTAATTTGCCATACATTGCCAATAGCTGAGTTTTTTTAAATATATTTTTTAAAATATTTTTAAAAAGTTTTCTGAGAATCATAATGGATTGATTCTCTGATGGTAGGGTGAGCACCGACTTCAATATTTAATTTACAGTGCAAAAAAAACAGGTCAGAGAAGAGATGAACAAAGACATCTTCATCAGCACTCACTTTGTCTCGATGAGAATGTCACCATTAGTGGGATCCAGAACGGCGTTGCAGATGAGCTCCTGTGTCACAGGGATGGACTTATTCATCGACACACACAGGTCTGAAAGGTAGTCCAGGAACCTGGACACGGAGTGAGAGGAACGCTGGTCATTCAACGGTGACGCTGGTTCACTGTACGTTTATTTCTTTAGGCTGAGACAAAAACCAAACCTGGGCTCCCGGTTCTTTCGGACCAGGCTGACGAACGTGTCAATCTCAGCCGCCGTGATGTGTTTCTCCAGTAATTTGCGGTTGTTGTGGAGCAGAGCTGTGATGGTGTCCTCCGCCAGGACGTCGTAGCCGATCTGTTTCTGCATGAAGCGGAACTGTTTGGCGATGTATTCCTGCAGAGACAGAGACGGAGACAGACTGAACAGGAGCTCACAGACCTGGAAGATTACAGGAAATGATCGTTTTAGCGTTACAGTAGCAGCATTCTGATGTCAGGTAAATGAAAAATGATCGTTTTAGTGTTACAGTAGCAGCATTCTGATGTCAGAAAAACATTAAAAAAAAATAGACAGTTATTAAAGAACAAGCCTGCAGTTCCCACTTTGGCCTGTAGCAGACCAGTGGAGAGAGAATCCGCAGCAGGGTCGTACAAACCCCTGCATCAGTGTAAAGCAGCGTCCCACTGGGCCTGAACTTATAAAGAAGAAGTGGAAGGTTGAAAATGTTGATAATACCTGGTTCTTCCTGTAGTCCTGCTGAGAGTGCCGTAGGACGCGGTAACACAGGCGGCAGATGTGTCTGAAGGGGGCGTGGCGCTGGTCGGCCAACTCCTCCAGTCGCAGCATGGGTCCGTCTCCACTGTCGGTGAAGGGAGCCTGCAGCAGCTTGAAGATCTGAACAGAGGAGTCAATGTTGTCCACATTTAGAGGACGGTTCTGATATCAGGTCAAAGGTCTGAGGTTCAGAGGAGCTGAGAAAAAGTTCACAAGAAAACACCTCACCTGTTTGAGAATATTCTGTTCCCTCATGAGTTTCTGTCGTTCTCTGTTTGGTTTGTTGACCATGATCTCCAGGACGTCCTGACCGTTGTTGGGAATGTCCACGACGAAGAACACCAGGTCCTCCAGAAGCTTCGTCACCGCTCTGGTTGGACAGGGGAAAAAAGTCTCATCAATGTTATGGAACTATATAACATTCTGGTAACATCATCATCATCATCATCATCATCATCATCATCATCATCATCAAGAGTCGCACCTTCGTTCATTCTGGGTGATTGTGCCTTTTTCTAACTTTCCCGCGATGGAAGCCAGAACTTTACTGGCGTCGTTGGCGAAGTCCAGGTCTCTGACTTCTGCCGGGGAAACAGGAACGATGGCGAACGCCTCTTTGTCCTCTTTGAGAGCAGACGTCCCGATCTGTAAGAACAAATAAATAACAATAAACAACAACAACAACAACTCTGCGACGACTTCTTCTTCTTCTTCTCTTCATTTGGTTGAGACGTGATGTCACTTACACGTAACATTCTTCTCTTCATTTGGTCGAGACGTGATGTCACTTACACGTAACATGACAGGTTTCTCTTCGTCTTTGTCAATGGGTTGGTTAGTGCTGTGAACCCACGTGTTTGTACAGAGGTGTCGGAGGCGGACGTAGGAGTTTCTGAGGGAAATTCAAATAATTAGGAGTTGAAATGTCAACATTTTAAGACAGGCCAGTTGCCTATTCATTAATTTGAATAAAATTACTTGAATGATTAAGAACCCCGATATTGACTCACACTCGTGCTTCACATTTCTTCTTGAAATTACTTTTCAGTTACACAGGAAATAGCACAGATCTCAGTAAATTTCAAAGATTTTTTTACTCCAGTTTTAGTGGAGTTAATTGAAACCAATTATAACCAAAATTATAAGGTGTGATAAAATCAATTTGTTACAGAGGGAAATTATTAAAAATTAAATTAAAAAAATATTACTGTTAATACTGTTCAGCAATACTCAAGTTTACCACTAGATGTTGCTAATGCACAACACTGTGAAATTCAAGAATTAAACGGGTGACAGAGCAGGTACCAGGAACGTTTTCTTACCTGGGCACTAACGAGTCTGCCCCTCTTAAGGTGGTAGGGTCGAGTTCAAATATGGAGGAGATGTCGTTCCCATCAGGGACAGACACCAGGGTGTACATGACTTTGTCCTGGACATTCCTCAAACGGGCTCTGAGGGCTTCCTGTTCTGAGTCCAGCTGTGGAGACAGGAAATATGTCAAAACAAAACAGATGCTCAGGTTCAGGCTCATGATCTGATGTGTTTATTATTATTATTATTATTATTTTTACTAATAATAATTAATTATAAAACAGCTATATTAACACAAAACATTCAATAAACAAACAAAATTAAAAAATATTGTTATTATTACATCACATAAAAAAACACTTATTGTTTGGTGACCAGACGTGAACACTTATGTTAGTCACTAAAACCAGGTAAAAGAATATTGGCAATATACAGGTCAAGGCTGCCACCTGCTGTTCGTTTAACCAAACTACAGCAGGGATTAAATAATGAATAAAATAAAATAAAAACATTTCCCTTGCTGTCACTTAAAGGTGAACCCTCATCAATGTATCATACATTTATAAAAAACCATTGGAAGAAATATTACAAGATTATTTAAGTTTTAATGACCCTCCACCCCTGCTACAGAAGCTAGCTGTTGGCTAACTGACCATTAAAGTTTAGACCATTAGTTTACTGTGTTTACAGTCTCAGTATTCAAGACAAGTATTCTTTAAAATATATATATGTATATGTAAATATAACATGTTTATCTGTGGATAGACTTCACAGGTTGGCAAACTGAGGTAAATCTGCTTGAATGTAAGAACTCCTAATCCACCTCAGCCTGTCTGTGTGTACGTCTCACCGAGGAGCGTGACTCTGGACACTCCTCTTCGTACTCTGGATTCACCTACAACAAATCAAACAAACAGTCAATCAGGATGGGATCACACTTTTTTCTAAACTTTCTATCAACTGTAGCTATTTGATCATGGAGATTAAAAAAAAAAAAACACACAATACACAATAAACCGATGATAACAAAATGGATTCATAATTTGCTCTAACAATATGACTTTGATTAAATCCAGCACTTTAATATCGACCAGAGCCTCAGCTGACCTCAGCAGCTAGGTAGTGTCCAGTGGCCAGATGTTTGAATCTGAAAAGGCTGTTCCAGTAACCGGCTCCACCCCGACAGGGGTCGTGCTGCACCACCTGGAACACAGCAGAGCAACGAAGACCGGAGAACAATTCATTACAACTGGTTTATGGGAAACTTAAAGTCTCGCTTTAAGTTTAGTGCCAAAAATATTAACTACAAATCCCAACAAGATCAACAGAGCTTAAAATATCCCTTCTGACCTCGATCTCCCACAAGGCTTTGCTGCTGGTGGCAGACGTGGCTGACTGACGTCCGGTTGTGCGGAGGAAAACGTACTGTTTTCTTCTGTGATCGTCGCAGGTGAGGAATTTCTCCTGTTCTGCATGAAACAACCGAACCACATCCCCCTGTAGGAGGAACAGAGAATGACGCCTACATTTATTTTACTCATTAAGGAGGTAAAAACCCACATTAAAAGTTAAAACGAACCCCTTTCAGGACGATCTCCTGATTGTCGCTCCATTTCATGAACAAGACGATTTTCCAGCTGGTGTTGCAGTTGACGGAGTTCACCTGGAAAACACACAGATGAATATGTCGTCACAAATAAATGCAACAACGCCACCAATGTCTGAAATGCTGGTTTGAAAAAAAAAATAATGTAACAAAAAAGCAAAACAAAAACGTTGATTTTTAAACCTTAAAACTATTAAAACTATTTTCAATTCAAAATTTGATTGAAACCTGTTTAATGTTTGAATTCTACTGAAGGAATTCCCTGATGGAAACCAAAAAGAATAATGGCAAAGTATTTTCTTCAATGTGTTTTAAGGATTTTTTTAAACCAAGACATTTACAGCAGTAGAAAAAATAAGCACAAAAAATAACTTAAATTATCAATATTCACACGATGTCACCTAAATGTTTGTTTAATTCTAATCCTTCTCCCTCCCTTCGTGTCAAATGTCTGTGAAATGAAGTGTTTGTCATTGTTGTCAGTGGTTTGACAGCTGAACGTCACAGTTCCTCCAGAACCAACACCGTCTCCATCGACTCTGAACTGTTCCACAACAGACGGCTAATTACCAGGCGGCAGTGATGAAGACGCAGCTAAAATTAGATCGTACACGGCACAAACTCCCACAGACATTTTCTGAGGAATGAAAATGAACTACATTTGCCCACCCTCCACCCCCCTCCCCAACAAACCTCGTTGCAGCCAGGATTATCCACGAGCTGGTGCGTGCTGGCGTGCAGCGGCTGCCCCGCATTCACAGGGTTCAGAACCACTTTATCACCGATGACGACCTGCGTTCAAAAACACAGATACGAGTGCTTTAACAACAGTGTGAGAAAAACGACTGTCGGGAGGGAAACGTGGACAATAACAGAGACTACGGTGGTTTATAATCATTACATTACAGTCAGAGCTGTGCAGAGGTCAGCTGTAAGACCATGAACATCTTCTCCAAGTGTCATTCATCATTTGTCATGAACAACAGAACCTTATTATATCATCCCGCTGCGGGAGCTGAGCCTCCGGCCCCGACACTCTCGGTGAGGAGCTTAACTGACAGCTCTGGTCTGAGGCTGAGGCTAATTTTGTCCTCGGACTCAAGCCTCTTACTTCCTCCTCCCAGGGAAGAAGATCCAGCGCTAACGAGAGCTCTGATGAGTTAAATGCCCCGCGGCTGCTGGGGCAGGTGTGTGAAGAGAGATAGAAGGGTGGGAGTTTAGCCGGAGGGGAGACTCAAAGACAAACACCGAAAAAATAAAAGGTGTGAAAATGTTCAGAGAAACGAGGGGAAAAAAAATGTCATGTCATGTTATGAGATGAGCGTGGGCTAAAAACCACAGACGACAGACAGACGGGGGGGAAACTCTACTTTTGAAAGTGAGGTCATTTGCACCTTTATTTTTAATGTAGTCAATCACAACTTCAAGGTGTAAAACAGGGGCCACATCAGCAGCACAGTGCCCCCTGAAGGGCCGGTTGTAAATAGCAGACTCTATAACGTATTAATAAATGTTTCTGCAACTGATTAGTTACAAATATTGTTCATTTCTGTGTAATAAAAAAACCTTATTAATTTAACTTTATTTAATGGACGTAATTCAAATGTGTCTTTATGCTCCCGCGGGCCACATTTGGCCCCCGGGCCTTGAGTTTGACACATATACTGTAGAATATAAAGTTTTGTTTTCGTAGATCATCACATGTGGAAGGAAAGAGGAAAGGGTTGGGGTTAGAAAATAAAAGGTGTCAGGTGGAAATGATTGGTCACCGCGTGTGATTGACAGCCAGGTCGACCCAGCATCTGTGTGTCAGTGATGTTCTCCATCACGAGGACATTGAAAGCATCAGTGACATTTACCGTCTCGGTTATCAATAAGTGCATAATAATTAGAAGTGACATTTATGCCCCGCCCCTTTTCCATCCACTCCTAATGTTTGTAGACAGAGAGACTCACACTGTCCCCGATGGAGCGGAGTTTGTAGAAGGGCTGAATGTAGAACCAGGAGCCCTCATTCCCAGCTGTGTCCAACATGACTCTCATGGCGTTCTTCTCCAACAGAGCGGGCAGACGTTTGTTCACCGTCAGGTATTTGTTGCTCTTCAGGTGAAGCATCTGATTAGAAAGGGGGGGGGGACAAAAGTGGAAATTAGACATTTGCTTTAAATGTAGTGGGTTGTACAACATTAACATCAATGTACACACAGTGTACACACATATTTTAAAAGTCGACCCAAGTCAATAGACATTATTCCTAAACTCCTGGGAAACATGATGCGAAACAACCCAAAAAAAAAATCTCTTGCGACCCACCTGAGGGTCGCGACCCATACTTTGGGAAACAATAATGTAAAGTACACGTCTTTTCATTTATACACACATATATACTCACATACATGTATATATCATACACATATCTATACATACATGATATGTATATGATATGAATATATATATTTTATACATATTTGTTAATATATGTATATATAAACATATATTTACAAACATATTTACAGTACGTTTCCTTTCACAGTTATTTTTAAAGCATTCTTACAGTACGTTTTCTTTCACAGTTATTTTTAAAGCATTCTTTCAGTTTAAATGTCTTGCATTTTCCATAATGTTTTGTTTTTAAGATTTGAATTTTTCACCTCTGACATTTTCCTGCCTCAACAAGAAATTCAAACCGAGCAAATATATAATGTTGCACAATACAATATATGTAGTGTGTATTTTAGATGCTCCTTCTCTATGTGCTGTAAATGTATGGTTTTAATCAGAGACTGTAGCCAAGCTGCCAACAGAGTAACGCTTTAAAACTTTACATATTTCAAAGTCAAATCATTAAAAAAAACTCAAGATTTCAATTCGACTACTGTTGGCAAAAGTCATTGAATTCCTATTTAAACTTCACTGTATTTTCATCATTTCATTTGTATCTGCACAAAACCCAACAGATGTTTTTATTTTTATGGAACCAACCTGAATAACATTCCCATACTGAATAACTGTTCCCAGTAGTTTCTTGTTTTCAGAGTCATTTTGCTTCTTCTCCAAGTCAGCTGCATGCTGCCAGAAAAAAAAGAAAACAGTCAGAGAAAAACACCGGGAGAAGAATTACACACTAGTAATTTGTACTAATGTATTAATGAAAAGCAGAAATGAAGTGAGAAGAACTCTTGAAAACTGCTGCACTTCAGCTGAGGAGCTTTAACCAAAAACTGCCGTCTCCATGGAAACCTCGGAGAGATCGCAATCTCCTGTTTTATGACTGTGTGGTCAGATAACACACTGCTTTAAATGGAGTTGTACTGCAGCAGAAAACGAAGGCTTGGTGGGCAGAGGCTGGAACGGCAGCACGGTGAGAAGAAAAGCCCTCAGAAATGTCTATAAATGGACTCTGAGACTTTGAGTCAGCAGATTAACATCAGCGCCATCTAGAAAAACAGACCTTATGGACGTTCATTTCAAACTAAATAAAAATAAATGTGGTGGAATACCCTAATCTGCTCATCCTTCTGATCTGGGTTCTGTGGACTGGTCTGTGTGCTGGTGTGACCAGTAGAGACAGTAGAGAGACAGCAGAGACTGCTGGGAGGTGAACATGTGACCACCTGACTTACATGGAGCTTGTTGAGGAGCACCGTGTCCGTGTTCCCTCCAGGCTTTGCTGCTTTCCAGAACTGCTTCTGGGCTGAGTACCGATTCATGGGACACAGTCTGAAGAGACAGTCTACACAGACGGAGAGAGAGAGGGAGACAAGTGAGGGTCAGGTCTGGGTTGTCTGTGTCAAGAAATCCTCGCTTCAGTCTTCTGAAGTTCTCTAATCAATTATTGTCAAATACAGAAAAACCCTAAACCTCATCATGGCTTTTTTGTACCAATCGGCCGGTATCAGTCTGTACCGCGGACTGGTAACGCCGCGCCATCGTTGGAGGATCATAACATTTTCAAAATAAAAAATATTTCAGACTTTCTTCTGTCAGTATCAGAGTCTGAATGACCTTTGACCTGTTGGTCTGAAACATTGACAGATTATCTTTGAACGAAAAAAGTACAGGGATATGACTGGATTACTTTTAGAAAACAAGTACATTTTTTCACTGTGTACCAGTGTGGACTGGTACCAAATGACCCACGGACCAGGGGTTGGGAACCCCTGCTTTAGATGACATTTACCTAAAGGGCCTTAGTGTTTTTGTTCTTGGTATTTCTTGTTTTGTTTGTGTAAATGAATGTTTCTCCAGGTAATTTTCTATTTAAAAATCCACTCAGTATTTATTCATGCTGTAAATAGAAAATAGATCAAATTACAGTAATAATGTTCCTACAGGTCTGACTAACAAGAGGAGGAGACAATAAGATAAAAGACTATTTCTGGCCCATCTGGTGACGAACTCCAACATCAATGAGTCAAAGTGTTTAAACACTAATTTGACACACTCCTCCACCGTTCGGTTTGTAATCCTGCGAGACGGAAATCAAAGGCCTTTGTCTGTGGAGATAAGGAGCCGTGACAGATAAGAAGGCTATCTGTGTGTGTGTGTGTGTGTAAGACACGGTCAGAAACGGCTCAGAGTGATGATGTCATCGGCGGAGCCTGATAATGGGGCTGATTTTCATAGAGCGTCGAACATCATCAGGTGTAATGACAGGAGCCCCATTTGCATGTGGGCAGGAGTGACACACACACACACACACACACACAGAGTTCCTCTTTCCTCCCACTGAAGTTCCTCTTCATCAACAGGCTGCACCACGGCTGCAGCTGGAACACAGGCCCCACGTGGGAACGCTGCGGTGTTCCAGAGCGTAGTTTGAATTTTGTCCCTGCACTCCAGCGTCTTTTTTTTTTTGTCCAAAGACTGAAAAAAAAACAAAACATCTGCTCCTCCCTCCCTCCCTCCCTCCCTCCCTGTACTGGTTCTACTCTGCCCTCACCTCCCACCAGACCACAGCTCTGTGTTCTGAGGACGGGAAATGAGGAGGAAAACAATCTGTCCATCCTCTTTCTTCTTCTGCTGCTGCGGCCACAGTAACATGACCAAATAAGGCCTTCCAAGAAAAGGGGAGTGGGATGACGACGGAGGGAGGGAAGATGAGACGGAGGGTGAGAGAAAGAGAGAGGGGTCGGGTGACTTTCTCCCATCTCTGCTTCTCCTTTCTGAATTCCTCCGTCTGTGTCATACACTTTATTCTCTTCCTCAGAGATAACGTTCTTCCACCAGACACTAGAGCAGGCCCCGCCCCCTTCCCTCAAACACACACGCACACAGACACACACATCAGATCAGATAAGGTCGACTCGAGCTCAGATCAGCATAGAGTTGAAAAAACATCGAGAAGGAAGTGAAAGACAAATGAGAAAAGACAGGAAAGGAGAGAAAGAATGTGAAACTGTGTAAGAGCAGAGGAGGAGAGAGAGAGGGAGAGAGAGAGGGAGACACGGAGAGAGAGAGAGAGAGAGAGAGAGAGGGAGGCTGCAGGAACACTGGCTCGTATGTTCAACTCAAGTGGATGAAAAATCTGGCTTCTGTTCAACGGGCGAACACAAAATTAGGCTTCAGTCACTTCTACTTCTGTAAGAAACAATCTCCACCAGTCCATGACCCCGACTGGAACACTGGTTGGTAGTATGTGTGACAGGAACCAGTACTTTAACCCTAAAAAATCCAAGTCTTGAAATCTGTCGAGAGACGTGGGAACTGATGGGGGGGAAAAAACGCTGCAGTTCATCAACATCCCAGCAAATGATTAAATTTGTCAACTGACAAATAATTAACTTTTTTTTTAGTTTCTATGAAACCTAGGTCAGTATGAATGGTGATAAGTGCTCTTGCCTTACACTAAGAAGGTCAACCGTTTGATCCTTGCGGGTAATTAATGGTTTTTCTGTGTGGAGTTTGTCTGGTTCTGGTCATGTACATTAAGCAGCTGCGTCTCACTGCTGTTTAATTATCGCTGCCACTGGTTCATAATTAAGACAATGGTCTCGTCAGCCAGCTCTGCTGAAGTTGGCTTCCTTTTGGAAATGGTGCTGTCGGCAATGTCACCAAGACTGTCTGTATTATTTTATTTTTTTTGTCATCCTGATTGTCTGTATTTTTTAACAATGGCTCCTGTCATTACTTCAACTTCAAACTCTGCCTCCGTCCTACCAGGAAACACTGAGTTTGTATTTTTTTTCCCACTTTGTGTACATGGGGTTCCCCAGGTACTCAGGTTATTAGGTTAACTGGTTAACAGACCCAGGTACAGCAGGACACATATATACATATATATATACATATAGTCTTAATGGAACCCCTCCCCATAAGACAAGGGCGTTGGATTTAAACCCAAGACCTTCTGCCTGGCATGCTAAAACCCTGCCCACTGCTGCAGCGTTGTCGCCCGTGCACCAGAAAAGATCTCCTCATTAAAACTTGTCTCAGGAAACAAAACTATTTATAAAGCATGGGGTCAGTGGTAGGAAGGATGTCTCCAAGTTTCTGTAGTTCAATAAGGAGTGATTATGGAGGGAGGGGAGGGAGGAGGAGTACTTTAGGAGACATTTACTACAGTAGAAAGACATTTACTACAGTAGAAAGACATTTACTACAGTAGAACTCAAACAGAGGCTGCTGTGAACACGGGAACAAACCAGGAAGATGAGAGGGACAACAGAACAGACTGGACCTAAACCAAACAGCACAAAACAACTGTACTTCACAAACAAACAGTTGGCATCAACATCATCATCATCAGCATCATCATCATCACAGGGCGTCCTAACAGTTATAAACTGCTCTAAACAACTTGGCAGTCCATATATTTTTAAAGGATTATAAAACTACAACTTCCTTTTCCTCTTCAGAATTTGACTGTCGCCCAGTCATTAACTGCTTCTGTGTGTGTGTGTGTGTAAATCCTCTCAACACAATGAAGCAGCAAGTCTTTAAACAGAACCAGAAAGACTGGTTTGGACACGTGTCCAGCCCAGAGCAACACAAACACCAACGGTAAACTAACTTCAATGGAGTTAAATCGACCGCAGCTATTCTGATTTATTCATACTCTTCTGTTCACATACGGCTACATGCACCGAGGCCCCAAAACATAAACAGGAAGCAGCTGATTGTCATTGGCAGTAAATAGGTCAGCTAACATTTTCCTTTGACCGTTTCCTAAAAGACAACTCCAGTCAACAGAAAGGAAACCAACATGTGTCGTTATTAGAAGAGGAAGGGACTAAAAACAGAAGTGTTTCTGGTGTTTATCTCAGATGAACCACCCAGTGTCTCTGGCAGCGTCAGTGGACACAAAACATTTTTTTCCCTAGGTGTTATTACACACTCCAGAGGGAAAGTAAAAAAAACAAAAAAACTCTTCTTTGAGGTAAAAACAACAGCCAGAAGGAGACGATAGATAGATAGATACAAACAAACAAACAAACAAAATGAAGTACTGCTGGAAAAACACAAAATAAACAAGTGAAGTACGTGGGTTTTATCAGCCGACGTGTGTGTGATGAAGTACTAACAGCATCTGTGGGATTAATAACAGAGTGATTCCGTGATCTTATTGTTTAGGCAGATGATCACAGAGCTGACTGTGACCGTGTGGAGGGGGCGCTGTTTATATTTGAAGGAAATGGTATGCATGCCTCCGTGGTGAAAGTCTGGACAATATGACTATTTTGGCTTCGTTCTCTTTGAGCATCCGTTCGGTCGGACTCTCTCTGCACAACTGTCATTTTTAGAGTGTAAAATAAACCACATGACAGTTCTATGAATTTATATACAGATTGTTTACAACCGTTTAAAATTTGAAAGAGTTCTAATGTTTGCTGTAGTGGTTTCTTTTTTTTTTTTAACCAACTTTTTCAGAATGATCGAAAAACTGAACACTGCCGTTGACTACAATTGATCCTCTGTATGACCAATAATAAAGAAAATAATCCATTAAACCAAAACATATTCACAAAAGCACACTGATCTCCCCTCGGCATGATGGACCACGGCGTCATCCCCTCTCTACATTCAATAATATTTTTTCATCACTCTAGATCAGTTTTTCCCAAACATTTTTTTTCTGAGGACCCATAGTTAAAAAGTCACAAACAATCACGACCCAAGTCAATAGACATTATTCGTAAACTCTTGACAGTCGCGACCCAGTCTTTGAGAAACAATGCTCTAGAACAGGCTACGTCTGGATATCTCTCTAACTACTTTCCCATTGGTCCAGAGTCCAATCTGTTATTTATCTGACAACCTCCAAACACTGGACCGTGTTACATTCACTTGCTTTCATTTCTGTGGGTTTTTTTGGGGGTTTTGTGACTGTTGTGACATTTATATGATGTTGCCACGGTTAGCGTAGGTGTTTAAGGCAGTACAACACATAATGTAAGTAACATGGTACCTGCTAAAGGGCACAGACACCGGACGATGTGGTGTTCAAAAAGTGGTCAACTTTAAGATCAACAACATCTTCACCTCTTCCTGCCTCTTCTAGTCATGACCAGCTGACACATGGGAGGACTAACCACAGCCTCTCAGTCTGCACGTTCAAGAGGCCTCTGTAGTGTGACATCTATAGAACTGTATATATGTTCAGGCTGGGAGGGTGAGGGGGGGGGTCTCATGTACAGATTATAAGAGGGGCATATCTACATGCCCACAACAACAACAACAACAACAACAACACATAAACCACTCAGCAGAACGATGTTTCAAACAGCAGCAGCTCTCCCTCAGTGGGCTGTACACCAGGCTGGTGTAACATGTAGGTCAAAGCAAAAAAAAACAAAAAAAAACAACAGTGCATTCAAAGGTGGAGATGAACGAGGCACAGCCATTACTGAGAGCCGGCCGCTACAATGGAAACAATGGACGCCTCCCTGGCTGATTACATCCACAGTAACAGAACGTATAATTACTCAGCGTTAGGATAATGGACCGTTTTAATTTTCGGACGTGACAAACAATCAGAGTGCTGCTACACAGGTTTCTGCTCCGACTCATTTCGGAGCTGGTGATGCCTTTGACTTCCACCCAGGCACGGCCGCAGAACCACAGACACTTGTGTGTCCGGAGTTAATCATTCTGCACTGGGTGTTTATATAAAGTCAGTGATGTCAGTGTTGGTCTGCTGGGGGTAATAACCGCTCCACGAGATGTCAGGCGGCAAATGTGTGTGTGCGTGTGTGTGGTCTAGTCTTGAGTAAACTGAGCTAATCCTGAATCCCAAGTGTGTCTGCGCATTACAAACTGTCCACGGCCAAAAGAGTCAACGCTGTACAAACAATCTGATTGGACTGAAAAAACCTCAGTCAATAATCACTTTAGTTTCCACTTCAACACTGGTCAAACAAGCCAAGCTGAGCAGTAGTGGTGGGCGGATCGATCCAAATATATCGATACCAAGTTGGTATTGGTATCAGATCGATGCTAGCCTGGTGAGATCGATTCTTTACGTTAAGTTCCGATCTTGTTTGCAACACTGCGGTTTCGGCAAAAAGGAAACGGCCAGGTCACGTGACGTGAAGTGACTTAGACGCACAAATCAAACAAATTCAATAATAAAAGCATTTTCTATTTAATTATAAACTCTGTCCTAATTTTATCCGGGGTTTTGACTATTTAATAATTAAAAAATGAAACATCACAAAAAACACTCAAGAAACTTAATTGAGATTTAGTAATTAGCAATGACGCATCTACCTTATTTATTGAAATGTATCGGATCGGTATCAGCGATACCGGCCCGTATTTACTTAGTATCGGATCGATACCAAAATATGCAGTATGGCTGAGCTCTACTGAACAGTTTGGAGCCTGTGTTTTTGTTCAGTGACGGTTCAGGACAATGAGCTCCTTCTCAGCTCCCACATGGTTAAAAGCAACATTTTCAGCATTTAAATGTTCAATACAACCCTAACGCCCTGGAGATATAAAGCTCTAGTCTGAGAACGGTGGGTCATGAGTTCTACTTCCTGTAAGAGAGCTAATAATAGACTGTACACCCACTCAAGGTTTTTTCTGGGAGGCGCCATTTTTCTTTTTTCTTTGTCCTTTCAAATGTGTTGTTTTTTTTGTTTGTTTTTTTTTTTTTTTCAGACCAAGATCAGAGATTGGTTTTCTCTCCATCTGCCTCTATGTGTGTGTGTGCAGCCATAGACACATGCATGGATGCAGGGGCTCCAGAACACACACACACACACACATATATAATGAAGATGAACACACTGACACAGGTCCTGTTTGAAGTCCAGAGGGCAGCGATATTGTGGCTGTCACCAGAGAAACCCAGCACAACACGTTGAGCAGCGTCGCTCACAGGCTGCACTGTATAAACAGACCGCGGTGGAGCCGTGATGTCACGGCCTCAGGAGGAGAGAAAAGGAAAAAAAAGAGGAGGAGGAGGAGGAGGCGCATCCTCGTGATTTACCTCTGAACTTCTTTGGGGGGTTGTTGAGGTCTCCTGCATCGGGCTGGACCACACAGCGGTCATCCACTAAGCTGTGGAAGGAGAAAATATAGAGTAAATATACTGGGACTACACAGTTCACACTTCTGACAACAGGTTTTATGTATGCGTTTTTTTATATCATCATAATTGTAGCACCACTGTGGTTGACTATTCTATGGGTCACATGAATCAAAAATATTTAAAGAAAAATAATGATTAATGTTTTATTTCTAAAAGCTTAATCAAGTTCGTAATATTATTTTTAAAGTTTTTGTAACTCGAATCCCAAACTAAATTTTAAATTTCAAAAGATTCAGACACTTGGTAACACACCTGTCTATATATTTACCTATTTATCTTCAATATTTTCCATGAAAACAATTATTATAAAATTAGGGCATTAATATTGTAATATTATCTTAAAGAACGTTGGAACGGAGATACGTTTTTGCTGATTGATTTGCCAATTATTCCAAGCATATCAAGGTCCAAAAACAGCATCCGTCACGGGCCATAATTGGACCCCGAGCCAGACTTTGGACATGCCTGTTTTAGGCAAATAAACCAAATAACAGAACAGTTTTTAATTTCATTTTTTGAAATAATTTCAAAAGTCACCATTAACTGTACAGTACAGCGATGGGAATTAAAGGGAATTTAATTTTTCTTAATTAACAAAAACCAAATTAAAATGAAGCAGTGAAACTGGTGTCATTTTTCCCTGACAGCGCCCTCTACTGTGACGTGTTCACTGTCCCAACACAGTTTTATCATTTCATTATTCAGGATTACATGACCTGTGGGCAAACTGGAATTTCTGGTGACAAATTTAGCTTTTACTGGCTTAGAATAACAGTCATCTGAACGGCGGCCAAGTCCCACATCCATTCCAGGCCTTTTCCCGGGAATGTCTACAGTTGTCCAAACAGACCTGTCTATTCCTCCTCTCTGAGCACCTCACAGCCTGAAGCTGCAGCTTAGACTTAAAAAACAAAAGAAAAGAAAATCAGACTCAAAGATCTTCTCTATCTGGGTCAGTATGAAATTATACTTTTGAAAAAAAACAACTTTTTTTTTTTAAAAACCACAGGCCTGTGAGCAAACTGTCAGCTGCTGAGTCGGTGTTTCTACATAACAGAAAACCAAAGCCTCTTATGAAACCTCTGTAAGTGGGTTCATGCAGTGTGTGTGTGTACTGTATATATGTGTGTGTGTGTGTACCAGTGTGGGATACACTGACAATCACAAAAGGCCACAATGCTCCGTTGTGACTCAGTCTCTGTCGGCCTATAGGTCACTTCTTTTTACAGGAATGTCAGGCAGAGGAGGGAAGACGTGGACCACGTCCTGACGGCAGACGGTTTGGATTGACCAAAACATGGCTTCTTATTGGATAACACTTTTAGGAAAGCCTTTCCTTACTGTCCAGTTTGTGTTGCTGGTGATATTTCAGGACCTGAAACCTGCATTTATTTCTCCTTCATCTATTAAACAAACTGTCAGACGTCGTCGTTATGGATGACAAAGCTGCTCTTTTGCATCGTGGTATGCACAAAATGTGGAAAATGTCAGTATGATGAAAAGCCAAATTCTTGTTGCCAATGTCAGTGTCAATAAAATCTCAGACTCTAGAAAACGTCATATGTTTTTTTTTATTTTGCAGTAAAAGAAAAGAGTTTGTAATATTGTAATATGGTAACTTTAATTTTTTGTCTTAAGGACTCGACAGCTTGTTGCTTTTGGCAGATTTAAAAAAAACAAAAACTGTTACCTAGTTTAATGAATTAACCCTGTTCCTCTCCCTGGTCAGTTAGTGTTTATGAACATCACCAACCCATTTCAGGCAGTCTACCACCTTAGACTAGTCTGCCACCTTAGACTAGTCTGCCACCTTAGCCTAGTCTACCACCTTAGACTAGTCTGCCACCTTAGCCTAGTCTACCACCTTAGACTAGTCTACCACCTTAGTCCAGTCTACCACCTTAGTCCAGTCTACCACCTTAGTCCAGTCTACCACCTTAGACTAGTCTGCCACCTTAGACTAGTCTACCACCTTAGTCCAGTCTACCACCTTAGTCCAGTCTACCACCTTAGTCCAGTCTACCACCTTAGACTAGTCTACCACCTTAGTCCAGTCTACCACCTTAGACTAGTCTGCCACCTTAGACTAGTCTGCCACCTTAGACTAGTCTACCACCTTAGACTGGTCTATCACCTTATTTGGAAAGAGTTTCATAATGAGATTTGACACTTTCACTATAACCGGCTTTTATTAGTTACACTTACTCCTCCACACTCACCTACCCCTCTCGTCCTCTCACCCCCCCACCACACACTCATACGTGTAGATATCCTATCACTAC